AAAATTGCTCGAGCGCTGGCCCAGGACCAACCTCGAAGGTGTGCCTCGCGCGGAAACTCCGCCGAGAGTCTCCAAGCCTGCCAGCCCGTCACACGAGTGGACCTGGGTAGGCCGATTTTGGCAATGTCCGAACTGCTTGCGTTGTTCCCGCAAGCAGATGAAGCCCGCTCCAGGAGTGTGCACCCGCCAGCTCCGAATCGATCCTCTCGAGTTGCGAGCCCTCGGACACAGCTGCATTGTGATTGACTTCGATGACCACAGTTTTGCCTGTGTGTGTCGCGCCTGTCACGCTTTCAGCACTGGAGGCCAGCTTCGACGCTTGTCCAAGACTTGCGTCGGCCACCCTCCAGACCGCAGCGAGGTTTTTTCGCGGCTGAGCAAGGGGCCCCATCCTGACCACAAGAGGAAAGGGGCCAGAGCTGACTGCGAAACCATTTGCCCCATTTAGTTGGGGTCCGAGGCAGTGGATGTCAAATCCTTCTCCTCCTCTTCCTCCTCCTCCTCCTCCTCCTCCTCCTCCTCCTTCCTCCTCCTCCTCCACCCCCTCCTCCTCTCCTCCTCCTCCTCCTCCTCCGCCTCCTCCTCCTCCTCCTCCTCCTCCTCTTGGAGCAGCCCCTCGGGCCAGAACGCATGACTGGAGCCCCGTGTTTGCGCATGACCGTCGACCTGTGCTCCCGTGCCTGTGGACTCCCCCCGCCTGGCATCGGTCCGAGCGGAAACTGCCAGCGCGGCGAGAGCGGCTCGCAATCGGCCAACCCCTCCCTGCGAATCGAAGGGAGCAGTATGTAGCGAGGTGAGCAGGAGGAGGAGGAGGAGGAGGAGGAGGAGGAGGGGGAGGAGGAATCCCAGTGGAAACCCAAGGATCATCAACGATGTTGGAATTACCCATATTAACCCTCCCTCCAAGCTCCCTCTTCATAGGCCCCCACACCGGGTCATTTCCATTGAGGGAACTGCCTCGTTGGAAGACAACAGTTTGAAAATCCTGAAGCGTGCCAAAACATTGTCCTCGGGATTTCAACGCCACAAATCAACCTGACTGCTGCGTCTTGACGATCCAGAACAGAATCGCGCCAGAACGCCATGTTGGGGACTTCAACACAGCGAATTGACATAACTGTTGCGCCCGCATAATCCTGAATCCGTCCAAAACACAATTTCTGGTACGCTGGTCACTGGAATACGTAAAACAACTCTTGCAACTGTGTAAAACGAATGTGCGCGGCGCTAAAGCGAGAACCACGTTTTGAAAAAAACGCCCTCAATCCGTGAAACTTCTGCAATGTGTAGAACGAATTTGCGCGGCGCTAAAGCGAGAGCTACATTTTGAAAACCACCCGCCCTCAATCCGTGAAGCTCTTGCAAATATTTCAAACGAAGGTGCGCGGCGCTGAGGCGAGACCCACATTTTGAAAACCACCCGCCCTCAATCCGTGAAGCTCTTGCAATTAAAAAACGAATGTGCGCGGCGCTACGGCGAGACCCACATTTTGAAAACCACCCGCCCTCAATCCGTGAAGCTCTTGCAATTAAAAAACGAATGTGCGCGGCGCTACGGCGAGACCCACATTTTGAAAACCACCCGCCCTCAATCCGTGAAGCTCTTGAAACTTGTTTAAACAAATGTGCGCGGTGCTACGGCGAGAGCCACATTTTGAAAAACATCCATCTGTGAAACTGCTGTCACTTTTTAAGATTCAGAATCATAAGTGGCCAAACAATCTCAGGCAAAACGTCCGGCCCGCCCTAAAAAGTGGCCTCGGGGTGCGACAGGGAGGAGTTATCTATCAGGAGAAGGAAATGGAGGAGGAGGAGGAGGAGGAGGAGGAGGAGGAGCAGGAGGAGCAGGAGGAGCAGGAGGAGCAGGAGGAGCAGGAGGAGGAGGAGGAGGTGGAGGAGGAGGAGGAGGAGGGAGAGGAGGAGGAGGAGTAGCAGGAGGAGGAGGAGGGGGAGGAGGAGAAGGAGAAGCAATAGGAGGAGGAGGAGAAGGAGGAGAAGGAGGAGCAGGAGCAGGAGGAGGAGGAGCAGGATCAGGAGGAGGAGGACCAGGAGGAGGAGGAGGAGGAGGGGGAGGAGGAGGAGTGCTGATGGGGACGGCGGAGGAGGGCCTGCGCCGCAGCGTGAATCTCCTTGCGTGTCGCAGTCTGGGTGAGAAGGGGGGGAAGCAAGCAAACTGTACAATCACGTGGACACTGACCACTGTCCAGTTCGTTCCGGGGAGTCGGCAGGCAACCCTTCCGCAGGACAGTCGTAGGCCTTTCTACTCCTGGTGAAACGAAGCCGCAGGCGGGAGGGAGGGAGAGAGAGAGAGAGAGAGAGAAAGAGTAAGAGAGGGGGGAACGAGGAAGAGTCAGCAGAACAAGGGAGTCAATTTCAGAACAAGCGGACGCCCAAGTCTCTCATGCCAGAGGCGGAGGCAGGAGGTGGAAGGGCCGAGAGCTACCGGTAAACCTCAGAGGTATCCACACGCGCTCCAACGGGGTGCCTGGGCAGTTCGTCGGAGGTTCCCCGCGCCACGGCGGGCACAACCAGAATATCTCCAATGGTGAGCAGTGCTGTATCCGCCACCGTGCCCCTGAAGCAGGGATTGGAATGTCCTCGGGTCCCGTGTTCGGCCCACTGGAGCCTAAGCCCTCAATCCTGAGGATTCTTGAAAGAGCTCGGTCCCCAAATTCACAAATCTTCTGGATGGGGTCCGCGGCTCCCTCATAAACTGTTAGTGGCCAAGCTGGCTTCAACACAACACGGGCCAAGAGGGCTCCAAGAGGCCCTCAAGACTGTCCAAGAGGGCCCTGAGTCGCCGAACGATCGCTCCAAGACGGCCCAAGACGACTCAAAAAGCCCTCGAGGCGCCCCACGAGAGCTCCAAAAGGCGCCCCAAGAGGGCCCCATGAAGTTAAGATCATTACTTTTCCGTTGGCTTTCAAATTTCTTGGAGGTCTCGCCTTTTCCCAAGCCTCGGACGCTCCAAGACGGCCCACGAGGCCCTCAAGATAGAGGCCTATGAACCACAACCCAAGCACGGTGGCGGGATGGGCCGATGGCCATTAGAAATCAGGGTCAGCTCATTCCGGCTGGCCAGCTACAGCCTTGTACACGGAGGGGCGGAAATGGAGGGAAGAGAAAGAGAAAAGGACAGCGGAACGGAGAATCACACGCTGGGCGCACGTACTCGCCAGCTGAAGACACCAAGAATGGAGGCGGGTACTGCTGTCCTGGCCAAGTGCGGGAACCGCACGGCAGCGGCTCGCGGGCGATCCCGTGCCGATTTTTGGGGCAGACTGGGGCCAGCTGGCAGCACCAGCAAGAGTGACTGCGCGCAATGCCTGATTACGCAGGCAATGGCATGTACGGGCATACGAACAATCAGTCTGGGGCAGGAGGGAGGCGGGACAGGAAAGGGAGGAGCCGGATGCGGAGGAGCAGGAGGCGGAGGGCAGCTCAAGTACGGATCTACGGATCTAATGCCACTAGCTAGACGCCGGAATCAGGAGGAGGAGGAGGAGGAGGAGGAGGAGGAGGAGGAGGAGGAGGGAGGAGGGGGGGGAGGAGGGGAGGAGGAGGAGGAGGAGGAGGAGGAGGAGGAGGAGGAGGAGGAGGAGGAGGAGGAGGAGGAGGAGGAGGAGGAGGAGGAGGAGGAGAGGAGGAGGAGGAGGAGAAGGAGGAGGAGGAGGAGGAAGAGGAAGGAGGAGGGGATCCCGCAACCAGATGTCGCCCTCGCCGGATGTGCCTGCGTGGCAATCGCCTCCTCTGGCCGGCAGGGAGGCAAGGGCACAGAGATTGGACCGAGGGGGGACGAGGGAGGAGGGGCGGGGGAGGAGGGAGGGGGGAGGGGGGAGGAGGAGGGCGAAGGGGAGCGGATCACTGGGCGACGCGGCCCGCCCCTCGCCAGTCGTGCCTGCTGGGCGTGCAGCCTCCCAACGGCTGGCCTGGGCAGAAGCGCCGCGCTGGGCGCAGGCCCCGAGGAAACCCTGCCCTGCGGCGTTGGTCCAGCTTGAGCTATCTCTGCCTGCTGCATCCCACCTCTTCTTCAGCACTGCCAACTCCTCCTCCGCTGCGGGATGGCGGATGGGCCGGACTGCCCAAGCAGCGGACGGGCCAATACACTGCACATGCCGACGGAATCGCGGAAGGGCCAGCACACCCAGAAAGCCATTATCGTGATGAACGTCTTCCTCCGCGTCCCACTCTCGGATGTTGAAGTCGCGCTGCTGCACACCATCCTGCTGCTGGCACCCGATGCGATGCTTCGGGTCGCGGCGGTTGTCAAACTGCCCCTCCCGCTCGTGGATGTCAGAGTCACTTTAGTGACTCCCACGATGCTGCCGCCCCACCTGACGGGTGAAAGTATGCAGACAGCGAGTCGTGGGAACCAGCGACTTCAAGACAATTTCGAAAAACCATGCTTCCCCACGCCTGCCTGGGGAGCCCTCGTCGCCGAGGTCCGGACGGGGGCCGAATATCTATGCTACCTGGCCGAAAAACAGATTGCCAGACAGGGGCATTGAGACGTAGTAGTGGTTATTGAAATAATCTGGAGCAGGCGCTCGTATGCTACTCAACGTCGTGCTGGCAGTGATCGACGTGCTGCACAACGTCACGGTGTTCGACTCCGTCGCGACTGCCGGCCGCTGCCAAGTCAGCCGCAACGGAAAGTTGGTGCCAATGCCAGATTTACGAACAAAAACGTACCAGCACAAGGAGAGAGATGGAGAGAGGAGATCGGGATGAGGAGGAGGAGGAGGAGGAGGAGGAGGGGAAGGTGGAGAAGGAGGAGGAGGAGGAAGAGGAGGAGGAGGAGCATTCGGCATGTGATGCTTCACCCCCAAGAAAAGGGAGGAGGAGGAGGAAGAGGAGGAGGAGGAGGAGGAAGAGCATTCGGCATGTGACGCGGTACCCCCAAGAAGAGAAGACGAGGAAGAGGAGGAAGAGGAGGAGGAGGAGGAGGAGGAGGAGGAGGAGGAGGAGGAGGCCCCAGACGCCCAGAGGGGCTCGGCGGCCTCGTCCTCGCCGTCGCTGGCCCCAGGGCCGTGCGGGAGCTCGAGCGGCTCCACGCGCGCGGCCCGCCCCGCGCCGTCCTGCGCGGGGGGGGGGAGGATGGGGGGGGGGGGGGAGGTGAAAGGGGAAGAAGAGGGGGTGGCGGCTGAGAGGGAGGGAGGTAAAGGAGAGGAGAGGAGAGGAGAGGAGAGGAGAGGAGAGGAGGGAGGGAAAGGAGGCACAGCGTTCTGAGTCTGTCTGGCAGCTCGGGAATCCGCACCTCGCCAGGACGAGGGGTGGGAGTAGGCGGCGGCCCTTACACGGCAGCCTCGCAGGGGAATAAACACACGAAGGGGGAAGAAGGACGAGAGGGGATAGCTAAGGAGACAGCCGGCTCGGAGAGGTCGCCGCGATAAACTCAATCCAAAGGGCACGAAACACAGCGACGATGACCAAACAAAATCAGTCAATCGGTGGCTCAGGAGGGACGGCCACGCATCTAATCCCGAGCATTTCCAAATAATCCGTGGCATCAGCCTCGGCAGCGATCTCGAATCGAGCATATCATAGCTATGTGGGAGGCCGTCGATCTCGCGGCCCACGGGGTGGATGAAAGAGCAGCCCTGCTGTTGCACGTCCTGCCGAGCCTGCACATGGCAATCAGGGCTCCCGCTGAGGATGCCATACTCCCGTGAGAGGAGCACGCAGCCGCAGGACCAGGAGGACTAGGAGAGCACAACGACGACGACCGTGCCACGCCCGAGGGGCGACCAACCATCGCGCCGTCTACTGCCTGCAGACTCGCATCTACGACCTTGAGGCGATCGGAAAACGAGCGGACCTCTGCGCGCAGGGAGTTGGTCAAGTCCTGGGCCCGGGAGAGTTGTCCACCCAAGCCATTGATGTTCTGAGTATCCTTTTTCCCAGGCACGGTTTCATCAGTGGCAATAAGATCTAACACCTTCACCATACGCTCCTCCAAGGCAGACGTCAAGAGCTTAATAATCCCACCAGCCCTCTGTGCGTCGGTGGTTTAGGGAGTTTCCTCTTCCACCCCTCCTTCTTCCCCTTCGGGGAGGGGCTTACCCCTCCCCCTCCCTCCTCCCCGTGGACCTGGACAAAAGGTTTTGCGAGGTGTCGGAGCGTCCAAAACGGCCTCGGCGAGGAAGCCCAAATCATTGGTTTTACTATGGTTTGGACCCCATGTTTGGCCTCCTGAAGGGGGGGACCTTAATTAGGGCCCCCCCTCTGTGATCGATCTCACCCAAGATGGCCCAAAGATGGCCCAAGGGTGCCCCAAGAGGTGGCCAGGAAGCACCAAGAGGACCCCAGGACTTCCCCAGGAAGCTCCCAAGAGACCCCCGAGAGGCCCCAAAAGACCCCCCAGAGGCACCCAAGATGCTCCGAGAGGCCTCGGCGAGAATGCCAAATCATTGATTCTACCAAGGTTTTAGCCACATGTTGGCCTCTTGGGGGGCACTGATTCAGATGACTCCAAGATCGCCTGGGGGAGCCCAAGATGACCTCCAAGATGGCTCAAGGTATCCCAAGATGTCTCATAATGGTTCCCACGATGATCCAATATGCCCAAAGACCGCTTCAAGACGGCTCCAAGTGGCCAAAGAACTCCCCCTGGAGGCCCCGAAGTGGCCAAACCTTACGAACATCTATGTGTTTGGCTTTCTCGCTTTTTCGCTTCCGGTGGCCATCCGAAGCCTCAAGATGGCTCCAAGATGGCCCAAGAGGGCTCCAAGAGAGGCTCCAGAGAGCCCCACGACGGCCCCAGGAGCGCCCCAAGAGCGCCCCAAGAGGCGATTTGTTGGGCTCCCGAAGGGCAACGCAAACTAATGCTCGCTTTTTGTTTGGTCGATGTCCTCCTAGATGGCCCCCAAAGCGCTCCGAAGGCTCCCGCGAACGCTTCAAGAGGGCCCCACGAGGCGCCCAGGAGGCCCCAACAGGCGCCCAAGAGGCCTCCAAGATGCTCCCCACAGACCCCCAAGAGGCCCCAAGAAACTCTCCGAGGCACCCAAGACGCTCCAAGAGGCCTCCCCTGGGGGACCCTTCCTCTGCGTGCTGCCCACTTCCCTGATCGAGGCCATTCCTCTGGGCATCGTTTCTGGATGGGCTGGTGGGGTTACTTTTCTGATTGGCGGCTCATAAGGACAGATCCAGGAAGCGGGACGGTCTCGGCTGGGGCACAGGACGAGATAATTAGCGGCGACGGCGCATAGGCCGACGCAACGGGTGCACTTGCCAAGGACAAAATGCCCCCCATTAAGACGCAGGCGACCCGGAAGCGGAACCGCAGGCATCAAAAGGAATCAGACGGAGGAGAAGTCGCACAGTGGCGCCAGCTCAGTCCGTACCGACCAGCGCGTAAGGGCGTGGGTCACGCCGCGCTGTGGCGGCACGGAGGGGCCAGTGAGGCCGCACCGTCCAACACGACGAGGAGGCGAAGGAACGGGGAAAGGCGGCGGGCGCGAGGCAGGAAAAGGGGGGAACAGGAGGGGGCCTCACTCACAAGGACTCATAGGATGCACATGGGCATGAGCGACCGACCTATTCAAGGAACCGGCGGCCCTGTCTTCTGAGTCCACGGCCTGCAACTTGCCTGACACTTCAAGTCGGGGGGATACAGCTGCAAGCACCGGTCGAGTCCCCTGGACCACCCACGCTGGTGGGGTTACGCGAAGCGTCTAGAATTCACGAAATCGCCGACTAGGTAATATTCGGCGGAACAGCCTGGGCAAAATCCTGAACCGTGCTGGAAATCCGTTGTCCGATACCTGGCATAACAAGAGAAACCAACTCCGTGACCTTGGCATCAATATTCGCCGGAAGCTCAGCGTTGCGACTCCGCAGCCGCATCCTTCCAATCCGCATGCGCAGGGGGACCTGGACCCATACACGAAGCAGAGGACGTCGCGGACGATGACAAGTCGGAGAATAGACGTCCTCGCTTTCCAAGACACTCCTCAACTTTTCAATGGACTCATTTTGATCCCTCACCGAAGATTGTAGGCAACCGCCCGGGCGTCGTACACCTGTTGGGATTCCGCCAGGAAGGTTGGCACCTACGAGTGCACGGCCAACTGCGGCGGCTGAGGTCTATATCCTGGAGCGTGGCGACGAAAACGTGATGAGCGAGAAGCCCGAGCCATGCCAAACCTCGGGGCAAGTACAGCGTGACCTTCCTGATTATTTTTGAGCGACATGATAAGCTGAGTCTCCAAGTCCCTGCAGAATTGTTATCCCGCCCCTCCGTAAGATGCCGATGAAACCGTTGGATAATCGCAATGTGCTGCAGCCTCCACCGAGTAGCACTCAGGAGTGTATGCCTTGCGTACACCGCTTTGTTGAGACCTGTGAATGCTGGCCCGTCGCAGATGAGAGCATGCGAAACGCCTGACGTGCCAAGGAAGAACGATGACCGTATGCTTCGTCCATGATGAACAAATCATTCACACTATCGAAATACACAAGGAAGACACAACACAACCAAACTTATACCATGCGCTACGCTCGACTGAGCCGCAAAACAAAAGAAATCGCCGTGAGCCAAATGGTAACGGAGGGAGGAGGGGAAGGAGGAGGAGGAGGAGGAAAAGGAGGAGGAGGAGGAGGAGGAAGAGGAGGGGGAGGTGGAGACGAGGAGGAGGGGGAGGGAGGAGGAGGAGGAGGAGGAGGAGGAGGAGCATTCGGCATGTGCGGTACCCCCAAAATGGAGGAGGAGGAGGAGGAGGAGGAGGAGGAGGAAGAGGAAGAGTAGGAGGAGGAGGAGGAGGAGGAGGAGGAGGAGGAGGAGGAGGAGAGGGAGGAGAAGAAGAAAGAACTGGGAGGCTGTGTTGCTTCCTCATCGTTTTCTGCCCCCCCCTCGGCCCCCCCCCCCCTCTCCGTCGCAGACTCCCACGCATTAGGTCTGCACGCCGCCTCGCCCCGCGGCCCTCCCCGAGCGGACCCTCGGGCGAACTGACGCGCCACACCGCGAAAAGCTGCGCCCCGCCGCCCAGGCCGAAAAGCGGCGCGCACAGCGGAAGCAACGCGAGGAGGAGGAGGAGGAGGAGGAGGAGGAGGGCGAGGAGGAGGAGGAGGAGGAGGAGGAGGAGGGCGAGGAGGTGGAGGAGGAGGAGGAGGGCGAAGAGGAGGAGGAGGAGGAGGAGGAGGAGGAGGAGGGCGAGGAGGAGAACAGCGTACAGGGGGGTTCAGCTCCACCCTAAGAGGAGGGCGCAGCGGCGCTTGACGCCGATGCTGCACGTGTCGCAGTCGGCTGCGACGTGGGGGGAGAAGCGGGGAAGGAGCACGCAGCAGCAGGAGCAGAGCGCATCGGAGCGACGGACAGGGAGGGGAACGGGGAAAGCGCCAGCGGCATAGCAAACGTCGAGGGAGGGGAGCGAGGGGGGACGGCAGAGGGCAGCAGCAGGGAGGGCACAAGGGACGAGGAAGGAGGAACGGACAGGATGACAGGCGTGGCGTCGAGCGTGGGGGGACAGAGCGGGGCGCGTGGGGCGAAAGATGACGCAGGGACAGTCGAGAAGATGCAACGACGGGAAGGCCTGAGAGGCGAGCACTCAGGGCGGGGAGGGGTCCACGACGCGGACCACGGGGAAGGCGGGGATAGACTCTGGGTCGACGGGCTGGCCACCAGGGTACTAGAGGATCGCGAAGCAGGTCCTGAGGATGTCATCGGAGAGCACGAAGCAATTTGAGCACAGGGCGCCATGGGAGCAGCTGCAGGCCCAGGAGAGGTCGCCAGGACACCACCTTGCCGAGAGCGCCGCACGATCATGGAGGGAACAGAGCCAGCGACCTTCCTTTCGCCATACACACCAGCCTGCAGCCAATGGTTCGAGGGGCACCCCTGCGTAGGACTTAGTGTTCTGATAGCCGTCGACCAGTGAGACCACTCCTCGCAATTCACTCTAGATGCCTGACGCAACGGGCTCGAGGAGCACCCGACGCCAGGACTTTGCGTTCTAACCTCCCCAGTCGCTGCTCCAGGGAACAGCTTCGTCGATTCTTCGCAATTTACTCCAGAAGCCTGGACACCTGGGCTCGAGGAGCACCCAGTGCCAGGACTTGGCGTTCTGACGTGATCAGCACC